ACCCATAGAAGATTAAATTTAATTTTCTTTGCTCCTTTCTTCTTTTTGACTCTCATTTTAATAGGGAATGGCGCCTTGCATATATTGGCATTAAATTCATGCAGGTTGTATTAAATCAGATTTGCATTTTGCTAAAGGAGAGAGATACTAAGGCTATTATTCCCTATTAACAATGTATTTATAGGGACATGTATTTCTCATCTTTTAAGACAAAAAATTTCTTGAAATTTGACAGTACTTGTAACAGTTTCTGTGTGTAAAAAAATTTCTTCCCACCAAGTTAGCAAGAAAACAAAACAAAGGTCAGTGCTATATTCAGTTAACTGTACCATTTTGAGTATGCCCTCTCTGCCCAGATTGTATACTTTCCATTTGTTCCAGAGGATTGTTTATTCTACTCTTTACCTACAAAAGCTCTCCAACTGCTTTCATCTCGTTCTATTTTTCTGTCACTCTTTTGTCTTCCCTCGCTGCTGCTTTAGAACTCCTAGGAGATTCCTAGGAGAGGTCACTTGAACCAGTGAGCAGGGCAGCAGGCTTTGGAGAATCAAGTGGCTAGGCTAGCACAGTGTTAGTCCAGGGTCATGGCTAGCCTCAAGTGTATGCCCCACCCACAACAACCACCCCAAAGAAAACCATGCTCCACTCCATTTTCAACTTGCAATACCTATGTGAGTCCTAGTTACTTAATGTTTTACTTTCTGAAAGAAAAGTCAAGGTCGGGACATGTCTGGATACGTGGGTTTCAGTTTGGTCTGCCTCTGCCATGTCATTTCTTCTCCTTAATCTTAGATAGTGACCCCTGTAATTTCTCCCCAATGACCCCACCATCTGGCTACTGTTTAACTTCTATACCTTCTCTTTCTCCAATCCTGACTTCACTGAACTAGAACCACACCACAGGCCTTCAGACGTGCTCTTCCCTCTGTCTGAGACACCCCTCTCCTGCTCCTGTTCCTGACTATTTCCTGTTCAGCCTTAGCAGGGAAACCAGCCCCTCAACAAGCTGGTTTTTCTCTTCTCTTCTCCCCTCCTCTTTCTTCCTTCCCTCCCATCCCTCCCTCCCTTCCTTTTTTCTTTTCTTTTTAAAGTAAGCTCCATACCCACCGTCAAGCTCAATGTGGGGCTTGAAATCATGACCCTGAGATCAAGACCTGAGCTGAGATCAAGAGTTGAACACTTAACCAACTGAGTCACCAAGGCACCCTGGGAGCCGATCTCTTGATCCAGGCCCTCATATGGGTTTCCACAGCATCCTGGTTTTCCCCGCCACCCTGACTCCCCAGCTTTCATTTGGAATTACTTGTTTACTGTCTGGTTTACCAGCTAGAATGTATGCCTAAAGGTAAGGATACTGATTTTTTTTTTTTTTTAATTTACTCCTGTGTCTTATACTTGGCACATAGTTGGCACTCAGTAAATATCCCCTGTTGGGGGTAGAAAGCAACTGAGCAGGGCATCTTAGGAAGCCTCCCCAGGCTGCTACCACCTTCATAGCCTTTGCCCCAACTGTAATGGGGTATGTAATAAGACAAACATTTCTATTCATCATCCAAAGCGTTCTTGGGAAGAGCACTATATGTGTTTAGAAGAAATATTGAAATAGCTGATATATGGTTCAGAATATGGACTTTGAGGATAGATTTCCTGGTTTTGAGTCATGGTTCTGCCACTCAATGGCTGGAAAACCTTGGGCAAACTACTTCTCTAGGCCTCAGTTTCTTCATGTGTAAAATGGTGGTGAAAATAACAGTACCCACCTTAAAAGGGCTGTTGTGAGGATTATATGAATGAATACACACAAAGACTGAAGAATTACTGGATACAGAAACAGTAAGTGCTCGCTGTTATTATTACTATTAGTAAACCATTATTAGGGGCTGGGTGTGAACCAAGGTTGATCACCAAATTCTGCTTGTCAGGAGAGCGGTTCTGCTCACTGTGGGCTTTCTGTTTTGTATGTTTGGGGAGAGTTGCTGAAGCCAAGCTGATTTACTGTGCCAATTAGAGATGAGATAATTTTGACATTGGCAGGAGAGGGAGGCAAGAGCCATTTTGTACATTCAACAAATATTTACCGAATGTCTATTTTGTGCTAGACATTCCAAAAAAATCAAGAAGGGAGAGAGAAGCTAAAGAGTCTGGGGGGACTCAGGGAGTGTGGGGGGGCAAACAAGTTTCTCTCCAGTGGGTGCAACACAGCAAAGGAGGATGTTGAGAGAACAGAAGTGCTAAGGCAGGAAAATAAAGCGTCTGCTATAGGATATATCATGTAAATCCTCCCTTCCATCCCCTACAAAATCTTCAATAAAGTTTTCATTGCTCACTGGAGAGAGCTTGAAGAAGGGGAAGATAGCAGATATCTGGGTTATAATTGTTAGGGGAAAGAAGATATAGACAAAAATCCCTTCCTTACTCTTGTGTACTCCCAGTAAGGAAGGATTACGGTGCATGCAATATTTAATGATTATAAACGATACCTCCATGCATCGTATAATACAAGACTCTTTACAATGAATACAAATTAAACAGTACCAATAGCAACCATATAACTGAAAAGAAGAGGCATTATTCAAAACAGGAAACCTTGGACTTTGAGGGAAAAGGAGCCTCATACTTGGGAGTCACATTTGACCACCAACCAGCCCCTTTGTGGTTCATTAGTCGTTGCTGTGATTCCTCAGCAGCTATGACTTGTTATTTTATAAACCACTGGTTAAGAGGATGCAGGCTTTCTTAAACATAAATATCCTAAGGTTTAGGTATGGCAGAAAAAAAGGGGTCCACCATATACTTATGGCTCCCATCCTTTTATGGCTTCCAGTTTTTCACTTTTTCCATCTTTTTTAAGAATTTGAAAACTTGTCTATAACAACATAAAGAAATAACAATTTAAAGAAACGTATCTATTTCTTTAAAATAACAACTTAAAGAAATGTACATATTTCTTTTAAAAAGCAGCAGCCTAAGAAGTAATCAGTCAGCAAACCAAATAAAACAAAACTATCAATTTGCCTGAATTTCCAAGAGTGAAGTAAATAAAGCTCTGTTGGAATTTACCTACACAAATTGAGACTTTCCAGGGAAGAAAGAAACAAACTAGTGTTTTTTTCTTTTTTCTTAGATTTGTTTACTGTGTAAACCCTGGGTTTTTTTTGCATCTTATAATGTGACTACTGATTAAAAAGATATACGATTGTTTATTAATGTTCTCAAGGCATGATGCAAATTCACACCACCTTGGGTATATTTTGCCCCTAAAGCTATGAAGTAAATATGGAAGCATTTTGTAGTTAACAAGGCCAAAATATGTTAATTCAAATAGTTGGCTTTGAATAGGATTTTCCTTTAAATCATTAATAGGAAAATGAAGAGAGCTTGGGTGGTCAAGCATGAAATGTAAATGAGAGTAGTTTTCTTTTTTGTCTCATCTGCCCGTGTTATTTGATGTTAAAATTTAAATTTGATAATGTGGAATATGACCTTATCATGAAACAATGCAGCTTATGCCCCAGATTTTTTGACAGCAGTATTGTAACTACGATTTTTAAGTACCATTTTCAAATGAGAAGTTCAGTGAAAAAATTAGACATTTTGAATTGGTGGAGTCAGAAAATGAGTTTCTCTCTCCTTTTATCTACAGGACCATATTTTTTAAATCAAAAACTAAAATAGAGGGTGTTAGAGCAAAGCAGAGACAAACCTAGATCTCTTTAAATGGATGTAAAATCACCAGTGAAATCCCTGAAGGGCCAAATAATACAGGAAGCGTATACTTTTGCCCTCTTATTAAAATGAGGAATATATTTCTTTAAAGCAGAAAAGGGCTTTACAAACCTCTTTTCAGCTGTGGGTTTCTAATCAGCCTCAGAACGGCAACCGTTCCCCTATTGTCAGGCTGCTGGTGAGAATTGCAAAAGAGCCACCCGTAACCAGGAGTTCAAGAAGATCAAGGTGGACACCAGGCCTCGCTTCTGCCATTCTGCTACCAGGAAGAAAATTTTAGAAAGAGGTCAGTTTAAAACTCACACATTTTAGCCAGGTTTTAAGTATAACTACCTCCTTAAATATAACTGATCCTATGACTGTAATCTTTTCAACGTATGTGTCAGTGACCCATTTTCCCCCATTCTTTGGACTGGAGAAAAATAAAAAAGACCTGAGTGTCACACATTTCTATCAAAAAAAAAAAAAATGAATTAATTTGTAGCCTTGTAAAACTATGAAGTTTGTGCCAGTTTCCAGATGACCCAAGATTTGGGCTGCTTTACAGGGGTAACTAAATATATGGCTAAGTTAAGAATGATAAAAGCTCGTGCTAAAATATGCTGTGTAAAGTATGCTTTACTTTGGAAGGCATCGACAACAGCAATGCACCATTTGCCAGAAATGCATGACTATACCAACAAAATCCTTGCTATTAGGGCACACCCTTGAGCAACCATCACACTGCACTGAGCTCTTGAGAATATTCTGGAAGCATCACTGCGAGCCGCTGCTTCTCAGCAGGGGAAGGAAATGAAATTCAGCAGAAGCAGCAACTTTTGGAAGGAGAAACACAGTTTGCCTCTTAGGATGCTTCTCTCCCGGAATGGGTTTACTGAGAGCTCCGTTCCTCCGGAGCTTTAAATCTGTGGACCGTTGACTATCACTCCGCCTCTTTTGAAGTTACAAAAATACCTTCTGTGTGGCGGGAACAGCAAGTTTGGAAAATTAAATGGGTAAAACTTCAGAAAATTCAGATGACATACATGCAATAGCATTCCATGAAGAATTTATTCAACCCAATCCCTTGCATGTAATTAACCAAGACACACAAAGTCTCCAAATTTTGCACCCCAAAAAAGGAGGGAAAATGCAAGGGTCCTGTGCAGCTACCAGGACCTACTGAGAGCCACTTTGTTACAAATGTATCCAAAGTCCCCAGCACCAGAGACTTGTGGGGCGCCGCTCGTCCTGGCTGCACTCGCTCGGCAGCTTCCAGAGGTGGCGGTTGTGCTATGAAGGCAGACCCTGCCAAGCTGGCCGACAAGATGCTGCGTACCCCCAAGTGCTCGCGGTGCCGGAACCACGGTTTCCTGGTGCCGGTCAAGGGCCACGCGGGCAAGTGTCGCTGGAAGCAGTGCACCTGCGAGAAGTGCTACCTGATCACTGAGCGCCAGAAGATTATGGCAGCGCAGAAGGTGCTCAAGAAGCAGGCCTCGGAGGAGGAGCAGGAGATGGCCCTTGGCGCACACGGGCCGGAGCTGTTGTCTGGGGCTGCGGCCGCTGTCCCGGGCCCAAGCCTCCGCCAGCTGCTTCCGCGGGCCGTTTCGGGAGACCAGGAGCTTGGCCCGGAGTGCCGCGTGGCCGCGGGCTTCCCCGAGAGGCCTCCGCGGGGCCCGAGCCCAGGCCCGAGCGCCTTCCAGCCAGTTCTGGGCAGCCGCGGCCACGTGGGGCTGAGCGAACGAGCCACCGTCGCCATGCCCAGTTCCGTGGGGCCCCAGCTTGGGGCGGAGGCCGCAGGCAAGGGCTACCCCGGCCGCTTGGAGCTGCGCAGGCCGCTGCGGCCCATGCCCAGCCCGCCGTTCGCCGACTTTGGTAAGATTCCCCTGCCCCGCGTGGCCTCGGGCACCTCACCCCCCCGGATGCCTCTACGGGTTGCAGCCTCCCGGTGCCCCACTCCAGCGGCCCGGGCCACCCTGGATCGTGCCGGGATGGGCCTTTGGGGTGTGGGTGTGGTAAATGCTTTCAGAGGTACTCTTGCTGTGGAAAGCCGTTCTCTGTGTACAGACTTGGGTTGGGGGCCATTTTGCAAAAAGATAAAAAGAGAGCTAAAAAGTAATGGGTGGTTCTGGCAGCTTTTAACATATAGCTTCTTGCCTTTCCGTCTTGGGAGAAAGAAAATGGCCCCCAATCCCTTAACTGTGGCTTCTCCTCCAGGAAGACGCCTTAGCTAGATGGGCCCTACTGCACTTGCGCACTTTCTTCCCGCGCTTTTCTTGGGCTGGTGGCGCCTTTTTTAAGGCACCCCGGTGGGTGGGCCTGCGCGACGATGACTGCGCATGTGCAACGGTGACTGCGCTTGCGCACTCTTCCCCTTCCAGTTGCTGGAGGCTCCTCCCAGCCAACTTCCTTTGGAAAGGCCTGGCCCAATGCGCCTGCGCACCCGTTGCACCCTTTTCCAGAAGGTGGGAATGAGACAGTTCTCTGCACCCCACTGGAGAGCGGTTGGTCTGTTGATGTTGCCTCTTTTTCCTCCCTTCCCACCATATGCCTAAATTACATGGTTCCTTATGTCTTGGTGGTTTTCAGTATTAAAGTACAGTTTCAAGTCACATATAGATTTGAGGCTCTTTTGGGGGTGCAGACACGTGATTTCTTTTGGTTTTCTCTATGACAGTGTGGTAGAAAGAGCATAGGAGACTGGGAGACTGCTCAGGCACCTTAGGCAAGTTCCTTCCTTCTGTGGCAGTCTCTCCCCTCTATGTGAAGGGGATTGGCCTGGAGGCTCTCTGAAAGCCGGTTCTGCCTTGTGAGACAGTCTAAGAAAATTTAGGCCCCCAAGAAACTAGAGGGGGAAGACAGACCTGAAACAGCAATTCTAGAAGATAACTTTCCACAGACATAGTGCCTTTCTCCGTTCCATCTCAACAGGGGTTGAGCACTTAACCGTTCCACAACACTAGTGATGAAGACGCAAAGAGGGAAAAGTCACATTTGTTGCCTTCAAGGATCTTGCCCTCATGGGAGGGACAGTGCTGATCAAGGAATCATGCAAATCAATGTATAGAGCTCGAATAATTGATGGTTTTGTTGTGGTCTGAGGGAAGAGTCAGCTGAGTACTGAGGACTTTCTGAGGCACAGTGGGGTTAGGGGGGAAAGCCTTCTAAACTGAGGGACCAGCATCTGCAAAGGCTGTGAGGTTGATGAGAAAGGAGAAGCTGCTGGGTTATAGTGCATGAGGAGGCCGGAGTGGAGGCAGGAACCAGCCCTCATGGGGCTTTATGGCTGTGCCAAGGACTTTTTCTAAGAGCAGTGGGACATGGCTGAAGGGCTTAAAAAGCAGAGAGGATCAAAAGCATAATGGATGTGGGAGTTCTTTGTAAGTGGTTTTGAGTGTTGTGCTGCTACCTTTGTACAGTGATGTGATGCTCTTTTCTCTAGCTCTGTGTGTTTTTAACGTTTCCTTCATTGCTTACCTTTCCAGGGTTCCCTCTGAGCATCAGCTCAGACTGTGTGGTGGGGTCCGAGTACCTGGAGAGAGACCCTTCTAAGCTGTACCCCAGCTGCTCCAACATGCATTCTTACTGCCCATTCCCACTGGGCTATCAAGATGGCTCCCCGACCCCAGGGATCCCTCTGCAGCGGGGCTTCCGGCATGTGTCCTGCAGCCACTTCCATGGAGGGGCCTTGGTAAGTCCCGTCCCCATTCCTTTCCCCGTTCCTCCTTATCCCAGATGCCCCATTGCTCTTACGGATGCTCAGTCCCAGAAAGCAAACTGATGGGGCAGTCTGTGCCAGGCCCTGAGCACTGGCAGGACGGGTACAACACTGACCTTGTGCAGTGTACACCTCTCAGAGGGTACGCATGTGGGCAAGTCCATTCATATGTAAACAAGTCAGCCTGGCTGTCTGGGCCATGGCATGTGCTTTTCAGAGCTGCGGGATCAGGTAAGAAGGAACACAGAGACACCTCAGATAAATCTGGGGGGCAGCTGCACGGTACCCCCGACTGAGTGAGTGACTGCCAGTCTGGACTGACGACATGTTGGGGCCAGAAGGGCTTTATTTCGCTGAGGATCAGGAAGGAAGTCTCACTGTCCCGCACCACACAGTTGAGGGCAGAGCTAGGAGCAGACGTAGGTCCCTTGCCCAAAGATAGGGGCCCCTTGAGACTTCGGGCTGCTTTCAGGAGGAATTGAATGTTAGTCATGAAAAATAGGGAAACCTTCCACCAAACACCTGTCACCTCAGGAAATATTTGTTGAAAGAACGGATGAGATTTAATCTTTTTGTAAGATCACTGGTCCTAAACTAACTGCGGTGCTCTTTAAGCCTCGAGTTTTGAATACGGAGTATGGAGGAGTCAGGTCGTCCCTGCTGTGTGAGGTACAAGTTGGGGAGACCAGGTTTTTTGGCCTTGGTTACCAGCTCCTTCCAGATCAGAGTGGCTAAAAGCCCTTTCCCTTTTGGCAGCCCTGAGGTCAATCAGGACTGCAGGATAGTCAGAGGCCTGGGTAACCAATTCTGACTTGGCCCCATTGGGCTGGACCTGTGGGGCACGTTGTCTCGAATGCAGCTCAAGTTCATGAAAACGTAGACCACCATTACCTTTCCCCCCTCCCTCAGAGCTAAATGCCTAATCCTGGGTGTTAGATGTTTCTCTTGGGTGGAGGGTAGAGAGGAGTGAGGACTGAGCAGCCTTCTTTGTTTAATGTGGAAAGTGATTGAGAAGAAAGAAGAGCGCTTGATATTTTCTTAGCTGCAGAGCAGAGCCAGTGGAATTCCGCCACCCCCTCCTAGATGTGTCTACACAGGTCAGGCAAACAGGGCCCTGGGTTCCCACTCTGGCTGCAGCCCCAACAGCATCTCTTCTGTCTATTTTAGACATTGTAAAGTTTTACATAAGTCATTTTCCATTGATTCAAGGCAAAAGAGTTTGAAAACCACTGGTCTTGATAATTTCCAAGATGCCTACTGACCCCTATGTGAGCCATCAGGGTACGCTGCATTACCCCACTGTAGAGTAGAAGACGATGACTCGGGGAAGCAAAGTATTTGTTTGTGGGCACAGAACTGGGGAGGGAGGGTCTGGGGTTCAGATTACATAGCTGGTCAGTAACAGAGCAGTCCCCAACCTGGAGCCCTGGCATTCACTGGGGACACCCTTCCCGAGGTATGTCTGTCATGCAGAGACAGAGCAAACATGGCCCTTGACTGTCACCACCACCCCTGCCACACCTGAGCTCTCGTGCTGGCCACCCCCATTACAGCCCCAAGGAGAGCACAGAGCCTCCAGCCTTCACACAAAGAGGGGGCTCTGGCCAAGTGAAGCACGCACCCACCGTCTGCTCACACAGAAGCTTGGATGGAGCCTGGCGTCCAGGGTAGAGCTCTGATTGACAGGCTTGCCAGACGGCCTTTGTTAAGAGTGTGATCTCAGTTGGTTTATCTGGGCCTGAGCTGCCACCATGGGCCCCAGGCAGGAGCTGTGATCCAGGGAGAGACTTGGCTGAGCAGCTTGGAATTAAAGCACTAATAATCCCCCTTCCCACCCCCTTCACGTCTGGATAGAGGATCAGGCATTTATTTCTGATGTTGTTTCAAGACCCGAGAGCCTATGAACTGCTTTCATCCTTGTCCTGCTGCCCCCTGCCTGGGCTTGGAGATACTCCCCGGAGATGTCTTCAGCCTCCTATTCCTGTCTCTGCCCCATTTGCTGCTTCTTCACTTCCTCTGTTCTCTTCCCACAAAACAGCACAAGCTTGGAGTTGGACAGACCTGGGATCCAGTCCTGCCTCCGATGTTTACTAGCCATATGGCCTGGGGAAGCCATCTAACCTCCGAGGGTCTGACTCAGGTTCTCAGTCTGGCTGGTAGGGGAAAGAGGACCTATCTCATAGGGCCGTTGACAGATTGAAGAAGATGTAATGCATGGAAAGTGCTTGGCACGGGGTCTGGCACGTAGTAGGTACTTGAAGGTGGGCTTTCTTCCTTTCCTTGTTAGGAAAGCCTGGAAGAATCTAAAGAGATTGTTGCAGACTGCCTCAAGGCTTTAATGTGCTCATGTGTGACTCACCGATGTGGGGGCAGTGCGTGGGGTTTCTCAAACTCCTTTGTCAAAGGACACTTTTAAGAGCACATAAAATATCTTATAGGACACCAGGTTCTCCAGAACACAGCTTGTAAAGTGCTCTGAAGTTTCTGGATGCAGAAGTGAATAAGAGGAACTACATCTGAAATTTATTATGATTTTTTATTGCGTTCACATCTTTCTCTGTTCAGCGCTAAGCTATGTAGTCCTCCCTCCAGACGCCCCCATTCCAGCCTTAGGGTCCTGTGGCACAAGCACGGCTTCCATGTCCGGAAGAAGGAGTAGCTGCACAGAGGGCGGCCCGCCTAAGCCGCTTTGCTGAGGACCCCCAGCTGCCCTTGCCTCAGGAACGGCTGCACCGCACCCAGCTCTTCTGTGGTGTTAGAATAGGGCCTCCAAGGCCCCCTGACTCTCCAGTCTTAAGTTCTCAACTGTACCAGGAAAAGGGACCACAAGGGGTTGGGATGCATTCAGACCCTTCCGCAGCACGAAGCAATAGAGTCCGACAGATGGATCCAGCTCCGCCTCTGCCGCTTACCAGTTCTGCGGCCCGGGGCCCAGAGCTTGCCCTCACGGACACAGTCTGTCATCGTTATAGTGAGGAGCGTCGTGGGGTCCTGAGGGTGGAAGGAGGTTCTGCATCTATGCCTATACGAGAGGGCTCAGTATGACTTTGTGCCTGAATTCCTTCTTCCCTTCAATCATTTGGTGGGTATTTGCCAAACACCATGTCTCAAGTGTCCTGTGCCCAGGTGTGGGGGCCACACGGTGAATCTGCCCCTTGGGGGGACACCCCCCCCCCATTGAGGAGCCTGTCTGACTAACCCTCTCCCTTTCTGGCTTGCCTGCTGCAGGTGCCCGAGCCGGTGGGAGACTACCAGCCCAGCTACTACCCACCGCCGCCGCCGCCGCCGCCGCCACAGCCACCGCAGCCTCAGTTTCTCCCGCCGGGGTTCCTGTCTGCGCTGCACTTCCTGCCACCGCTGCCGCCACCGCCGCCCCCAGCATCCTTCTCTCTCACTGTCCTATCTGATACGGACAAGGAAACCACTGGTAAGTGGGCTCCAGTCCACCAATTTCTGGGGAGCCAGGAAGGTTTTCCAGAGGAAGGGGGCCTGCTCTGAAGTGGATGCGGAAAGAAGGGAAATGGAGAGCAGAAATTAGAATGCACTGGGCCCAGGCTTGAGCTTTTTCCTTATACACCTCCCTTTATTCCATATACAAGCATCCTCAAGAGGGAGTCCCCAGTCCCAGGTGAGAAAACCAGTGGAACCCAGAGAGGCTCCAGGTGCAATGCTGATTCACTCCCCATACACACTTCCACGGTGTGCAGGTTGCCATGCGTGCTGTGTGTTGAGAAGATCGGAGGCGCCTGGCCTCTCTGGCTTGGCTGGGGCCTCTCCAGCTAGGGAGAGATTAGATGCTGAGCCTGGAACAGTGGCTGGGGCTAGGCTGGGGCTGCTAGGGGTGACTCTTCTGCCCCCGGCTGCTTGGTGGAGAGAAACAGGCCAGGAGCTAGGCCTGTCTTCGCCTCTGTAAAATGGGTCCTGTCATGGGGTGACTGTGACAGTCAACTGAAAATCGGGATGTAAAAATGCTTTAGGTTTTCTGTTGAGGGCTCTTGCAGCTTTGAAGGTTCTAGGATTTTTTACCTTTTCAATCCTTCCCTGAGGCTCCTTAGGGAAGAAAAGGAAGTGAGAGACCTGTTGTACACTTGCTGTGTGTGAGACCCCTGGACCCGCGGGCTGGAGAGATGACGTGTAGCTTGAAGCATGCCGGCCGCAGAGCCAGACAGCGGGGTTGTGGGTCCTGACTTGGGCCCTTAGCAGCTGTGGGGCCCACAGCAAGTCCCTTCCATCCTTGGGCCTCAGCTTCACCTTCTGCCAAGGCAGACGGGTGGTCCCCACCTCAGGAGGGGATTCTGAGGACTAAACAGAACATGAGCCCGAGGATGGCCTTAGTGTGCATTCTTGTTTACTGTTTCCCCTCATCCTCTTGCTGATGTGATCTATCGTGAGGCAGAAAGACGCGGAGGTTCAGAGCCGCGGGGTAGCTGGCTTCTCACCGCCCGGTTGGAGGGTCAGTTGGACTCTGTGTCGCGGGGCCCAGGCTCGGTTGCCAGTGTCCGGACACCCAGTAGAGGAAAGGCAAAGTCATCCTCCACTGGGGCTGGGAGTGGGGAGAATGCCTTACAGAAAGTCTGCATCTGAAAGTAGGTCATTCCCCTCTTTGTAAATCCAGCCCCTCTTCTTTGTCCTTCCCAGATGACCAGGAGCAGGACGCCGAAGTGCCCGCAGCGCCACCCTGTGAGCCCAGCCAGCCGCCCTCTCAGAAGCCGTCTGACTAGGCCCAGGCCCTCGGGCCAGCAGGGTGGGGGTGTGGGGTGTTCCAGCAACGATGTTCTCGTCCACTTTCAGCCATGTGTAGGGAGGAAGGATAGTGGTGGGTGTAAGATGGCAGTTCATTTCCATTTCAAGACAGGAGGGAGGAGGGTGATTTCTAAAGTTCTCTCGATTCTGAGATGTGGGATTGACCAGGAGCATGGAGGATGGTTAGCAGGGGAGGGCCAGGGCTCTGAGGATCACGGGGCTGGTGGAAGCTCACATTTAGGAATGAATTTAACCGAGTCTGGGTTGTGCGGCTGTTAAACTCACTCCCAGATGCGGTCTTTGATTTCCTCAGGCCCCGCTCCAGGACAGGAGGCAGCATCTAGTCCAGCCTTCTGCTTCTGCCTCTGTTTGGTCCCAACTGGGGGCAGCACAGACACCAAGCCCCCAGCACATCCAGGTGGTCGGTGTGGGCAGCAGGACCCTGAGCACTGACAGCCAGTTCCACAGCTTTCTTCCCTGCTGCTCTGGCCTGCAAGGGCTGCTTGGCCACTGCCCTTGCCCCATCTCCAAGGGGCTTCTCTAAGCATTCTGACCGCTGGGGCTGCTTCATCTCCCCTCCATAGTTTAAGCCATTATAGGCATTATTTCTGGTTTGAAAAAAATCTATTACAGTTTGACTATTTGATATTTTTATAATGATTGCCAACTTTAAAAAGTAGGCTGTTCCTAAGCATTGATGCAATTCTGAGAGTAGAATGTGCTTCTAAACCATCTCTGTATCCACTTCCTCTCTGGGGTCAGTTGACTGTTGAAATAAAATAAGCAGTAGAAATTGTTGTGGAAGGTTTATTCTCTCTTTAAATCCTTGTGGGAGGTGGTGTTGTGTAGGGGGTTGGGTCAGGGCCTGGCCTGCCTCCCTCTCCCTTTGCCTCTGTTAGCAAGCAAGAGGCTTAGGCCAGGCTACTGGATTTTTTACTATCGTTGGTTTTATCACCATATTGTTTTTTTTTTTTTTTAAAGCAGTGGAGAGCTTTTGAGGAAATCTGATGCAGATCCCAAAATATAAAGATGTCTTTTTGTTTCCCTCACCCAACTGTGGGGGTGGTCAGAAAAAGCCTTCTGGAGAAGTTGGGGTCTCAACTCCATCTTGAAAGTGAAAGTAGGCACTTCCTATAGGGGGATGTGGAGAGTAGGGGACCTGGAGTGAAAGATTGTGGGTAAGAGACGGTGTCCTGTTCTCTGTCCAGGAAAGGACTGGCATTCAAGAGAACAGGCTGACCTGCTTCCTGCCACTTGCCTGCAGGCAGGGGCGTCCCAGCATGGTCACAGGACAAGTGGTAGGACGATCACTGAGAAGTGATACTCGGCTGTTCTCCCAACATAAGGGCAGTGGCTGGGCCTGGGGCTGCTCTTTTGGAAGGCCCTGGAACAGGATATAGTCTTAGAAATGTTTCAGTTACTGCTTTATAGAAAGTTCTTCCAGCGGGGCTGATCTAAGCGTGCCCAGGCCCATAGGTCAGCATTGGCTTCAGTCTGGACCTGATGATGTGACTTCAGACTAGCCTGGCTTTGAGGCTGAAGCTCTCCCCATCCCAGCCCTCCCCTCAAAAGTGCTGGTTGTGCCCTGGGTCCACAGCACTGCAGGAGCCTTGCCTTCCCGTTGGCCTCACTCCCCCTGCCCTCACTGGGCCCTGGCGTGTCAGTGTGGCCAAGTAAGCCTGGATCAGTGCCCCTACTTTTTCATTACACTTGGTTTTATCTTAGACTCCATGTTTTGAAAGCTTTTTCAGCCAAACTGCATTAAAGTATTTCTGTTCAACACACACACACATAAGAGTTATAAAAGTTTGACTACATGGACTCCATAGCAATCCAGACCAGTGCAAGAAAGCAAGTATTTATTTAAGCCTGTGGGGTTTGAGATGGGAAGTTCTGGCCTGTTGAGAAGGGCAGCAGTATCTGTTGCTGGAGTTTGTGTCCACGGGACTCCACAAAGGGAGGATTTCTCAGTTCTAGAGGCCTGTGATCTGTTGAACCTCTTGAGACCAGTTCGCATCTTTCTTGGAAACTTGAGGGTGCTGGCCGGGGTGAGAAGAACTGTGGGGCAGGATTGGAAACCTGCCGTCTTCCCTTGCCCCTGGTGTGAAGTTCAAGTTTTGATAGTCCCAGCTTGCCCGTGTGTGTGTGTTCTCACCATGCTTACTTACCTCGTAGGGGTCAGTGGACACCTGCTCCCTTTCCCAGTAGCCTTCCCAGTCAATCCAGTCTGTGCCCCCTGAATGCCCTGTTCCTCCAGGCTGTCCCTTCAGCAACAGCATGAGCACTGAAACACCAGATCTGCTCATATTGCTGCTTTGCTCACACACCCTCTATGGCTCCCTGCTGCTCTGAGGCCAATATTTTCAACAGAGTTGGCCTGCCCACCTCTCCAGCCTCCATTCTTCACAAGCTAGCCCAGTCCAGTTCTTGCAGTAGAGTGCAGAAAAGGATGAGAAGAGAGAAACGCAGCCAGGAGCAGCACTGCTCATCCCTAAAGACAGACTTGGCTACAAGCTTGGAGAATGTTCTGGAAGGCAGCTGGCTGGCATTGCGGGACGCCAGGTGTACTGTAAGGGCACCGCCAGGAGGGGGCGCGCGGGCAGCAGCTGTGGGCGGGGCCTGTTGCCTAGCGACGGGCCACAAAGAATCGTGCAGGTCCCACGCCAGCGGAGGCGAAGGAATAGTTTTTCTGCAGCTCCGGGCTTGAAGCGCCCCCCAGAGACCTGGGGTCTCCCGGGAAATCAAAGCGATGAGCGTCTAGTCTGCTTTAGGTGATTGCTAGCCGGTCCGCAGTCATCTTTGCAATGCCCTGCCTAGGAAATAGGTGCCCTTTTATCTTCGTCTTCAGACACCAGCCCCAACCCTGCGCCCCCATAGAAGGTGAAGGGAAGAGGGGTTTTACCATCTGTATTTTATGAAGGAAAGTGAGGCAAAGAGAGGGATAGTGATTTGCCCAAAGTCACATAGCTTCTACGTGACCAGGAGGGTGCAGAGGAACACATACATCCCTGAGCACCAGTCACAGTTTTTAATATCCTTTTCTCCCTGAGTTACTATCTTCAGATTTTTTTTAAATCAGGTGAATGCACCCTAGTTTCTGAGCAGATTCTAACATAGCATAGGGAGAGCAGCCTAAGGACATTGGCCTCTTGAAACCACTGCCCACTCTACTGACCACAGCACACATAGCCCCCTGAGAAAACGCTGAAGTAGGCATCCTGGTGACCGGTGTGAGAAGGATGCTCGGGATATCTAGGCCAGAAGGCAGGCAGCATTTGCTGGTGCCTGAGCTCTGATTGTGGCCTGGGGTTCACCATAAGCACCACTGTGTGAGCTGGGACTGACAGAACGTTTGGTTTTATCTTTTCTTTTCTAAGATTTTATTTATTTATTTGACAGACAGAGATCACAAGTAGGCAGAGAGGCAGGCAGAGAGAGAGAGGAGGAAGCAGGCTCCCCGCTGAGCAGAGAGCCTGATGGCGGGGCTCGATTCCAGGACCCTGGGATCATGACCTGAGCCAAAGGCAGAGGCTTTAACCCACTGAGCCACCGACGCACCCCAGAATGCTTGTTCTTGAGGTTTGTGTGGAGCAAGGAGGTGTGTCTTCTAAGGCAGCACTAATAGGTTTGATCCCCAAAACCCTTCTGGAGAGAATCTCTCCCACTCTGACACCACCCCCCCCCGGCTTTTCTGGAGAGTGGGGGTGCTCTGCAACCTCTTGTAGACAAAACACATCCCTCGGGCCCTGAGGCAGGGGAGGAGATCCTCTCTCTGCAGCTCTGGGGGTCCTAGCAGCTCCTTCCACTCCTGGGTGCTCTAGCTTTGGTGGACCTGGGCCTAGGTTCCTCTTACTTGGGGGCTGCTCAGAGACCTTGGTTGAGGCATGGCCTCTTCTCATTGGCCAAGGCTCAGGGTCTTCAGGCCCTGCTCTTCCTCCTCGCCTTTCTATAGCTGTGTGTTTTGGGGCACATCACATACCCTCTCTGAGCCTCCCTTTGGTTCAGGGGCATGCTGAGAATGCAGGGAGCTCTTGCCTGAAATGTTACCTCTGATACTGCCTCTCAGAGTACAGCGTATGTGGTACCCGCGTTATCAGATGATCGACAGCAGCCTCTTCTTTAAGACTGTGTCAGGGGGTGAAGATTTACAAAGCGTATTAGCTGTGGCTCTTTACTTGCCAGCGCTCCCCATGTGCCAGGCACTGTACTGCGCACTTTCCACAAATTGTCTCTGTGAATTCTCACAGTGACTCCCCCAGGCAGACACCACAATACCCCTATCTTACAGACCGCAAGACGGACGCCTTACAGAGGTTAGGTTCTTGTGCTTGGCTATGCCATCTCTAAGTGGCAGAGTTGGGGGTAAATCCGAGTTCCACTTGAGTCTAGAGCTAAGTTCCTAGCCACCCTGTACTCTCCTCCTCCTCCACAAGGGAGAGGTATGAGTCCTGGAAAGGTTGTGTTGCCTCCTGGGACTCTGCCCAGCCCAGCTGCCCTTCAAGACGTGGACAAGGTGCCTGCACACAGTAATTCAGCTCAGTTCTCACACAAGGAATGAAATCATTTGAACATTTTTTCCCCCAAACCCTGTAATTTCATTTTGAAAATGAACAAAGAAGCATGAAGTCAGTTTTTAAAGAAATGAGTATTAATAGCATATTCACATTTTGATCAAAATCCTTTCACAAGGTTGCTGCTGGGAAATTTATCAATAATAATGCTTGTAATTCAAGTGTAACCCAGGAAAGAGTTTTGACTCTGACTGGGATAATTTCTTCTCATGCTCATTTCTTCATCTCTCTCCAGGAGACGTTTGTTTGTTTCTCTTTAAAAATAATTGAGAATATAAAGAATGCATGGAAATCATACACAGTTTATAAGGATAAGCCAGAAACAGATTTTTCCCCCACCTCCATTTCCCCTTCTCATTTCTCTCCTCACCGATGTCCCCCTTTTTGTGTGTGTCTCTCCCCCCAGA